CACACCCACCTGGGCCAGGGCGGGGTCGCCGGGGGGGCGGAGCCTGAGCCCCTCCCCCCCCTCCGAGTCCGAGTCCGAGTCCGGGCCCTGGGGGGGGAAAATTCATTAATTGGGGAATAATTATTAATTGGGGAATAATTATTAATTGGGGAATAAATTATTAATTGGGGAATTATTAATTGGGGAATAATTATTAATTGGGGAATAAATCATTAATTGGGAAAAAATATTAATTGGGGATTAAATTATTAATTGGGGAATTATTAATTGGGGAATAATTAATTGGGGAATAAATTATTAATTGGGGAATAAATTATTAATTGGGGAATAATTATTAATTGGGGAATAAATCATTAATTGGGGAATAAATTATTGATTGGGGAATAAATTATTAATTACGGAAAAATCATTATTTGGGGAATGAATCATTAATTGGGGAATAAGTTATTAATGGGATGAGAAATCATTAATTGGGGACTAAATTATTAATTGGGGACTAAATTATTAATTGGGGTGAAAAAAATCATTAATTGGGGAAAACCATTAATTGGAGTGAAAAATCATTACTTGGGTAAAAATCACTAATTGGGGAATAAATTATTAATTGGGATGAGAAATCATTAATTGGGGAATAAATCATTAATTGGGGAATAAATTATTAATTGGGGAAAATCATTAATTGGGGTGAAAATCATTAATTAGGGAAAAATCATTAATTGGGGAATAAATTATTAATTGGGGTAAAAATTATCATAAATTGGGGTGAGAAATCACAGATTGGGGACAAAAAATCATAAATTTGGGTGAAAAATCCCAATTTTGGGGTCGAAACCCCCGGTTTGGGGTCAAAAATCCGGATTTTGGGGTCAGAATTTCCGATTTTGGGGTCAGAACTCGCGGTTTGGGGCCCCTTCCCCCGTTTCTGGGGACCCTTCACCCATTTTGGGGGAATTATTCCCAATTTTGGGGTAAATTATTCCCATTTTAGGGCAATTATTCCCAATTTTAGGGAAATTATTCCCATTTCGGGCGCTCCCCATCCCATTTTCCGCCTCCCTGGTCCCCATTTTTCTCTCATTCCACTTTTGGCCTCTCCCCCCCCGTTTTTGGGGTCCCTGGTTCCGATTTCGGGCTCCTTTTCCCCGTTTTTGGGCTCTTTTTCCTCATTTTTGGGGTTTTTTCCCCCCTTTTTTGGGCTCTCGCCTGGTGCAGTTCCCGCGTCCGGTCCCTCATGGCGGCGAACCGGAAGTGGCCGCGCCGCGCACGCGCAGGGGCCGCTGCAGGAACCATCGAGGCGGCGCCGCTCTGGCCGCCAAAACCATAGAGAGGGCTGGGAGTCCTCCAAGACCATAAAGACGGACCGGAAGTCCTCCAGGATCATAGAGCCTATAGTGAAGGCCATAGAGAGGAGCCGGAAGTCCTCCAAAGCCATAACGAGGAGCAGGAAGTTCTCCAAAAACAATAGAGAGCAGCCGGAAGTTCTTCCAAAACCATCGAGTGGAGCCCGCGACCACCTGAGGGGGTGTCCGGACACACCTGGGGAGGGCTCGGGGTCCCCCAGGTGCCCCCCGGGCTGCCCGGGGGGATCTGGGGAGGGTTTTGGGCAGATTTCGGGACGTAACGCGGCCTCTGATTGGTCGAGAGTCGCGGTCCCGTAACGCGCGCCTCCATTGGTGGATCCGCGGCGCGCCGATGTAACGCCCGCGCTGATTTGTTGGAGGGAAGGCGCGCTGGGCGCGGTTTAAGCGGCGGGCGCTGATTGGACAGAGCCAGCAGATAGAGGCGTGGCCGGGCGGCGCCACTTCCGGGGCCCGGCGGGAGCGGCGCGGCGGCGCCAGGGGGCGGTAAGAGCCCCGGGGGGGGTCGCCA